TTCTTTATTCTCTCTTAATTATTTCAAATTAATTGATTTTTCTTTTCGATTTTGCTTGTTCCTTTTCGTTTTTACGTATTTAATTTTTTATTATAATTTCTTTCTTTGTTAGTTCGACCATAACCATTTTGAAAACACTGGTACACACACCTTACCCCCGTCCCACCCCTCCTTCTTAACAAAACATCGCTCATATATTTGATCAATTCAAAGGAAGTACATTTGTACCGGTCTTGAAATTCACATCATCAGAAAAGTGTTGTAGGTTTTTTTTTTCAAACCTCGATAGTTCCGTATTCTTTCTCATTTAAAGATGATATTTGCAGAGTATCAAGATAATCTGTTATCTGGGAAGCTCTGCCCCCCCCCCCTTCTCAATTTACACTGCGATTGTAGATTCAATGCTTATATTTACGAACTCTTGTTTTTGTGAACTCTTTATAATTTTGTCTGATGACTGCCTTTTTGATCTCTGTTAAATAACCTTTTATAAAACCCTTTCCCACAAATGAAGTTGCTTTCTATATTTGTCTGTTTACTGCATATGATTTAATTTTTTTTTCAATCAGGAATAAAAAAATTGACATTTTTATTTTAAGAAATACCCACCCTATCATATCCTGACTATAAGAAAGAAAAGTTAGGATTTATTTTAATTTCAACTAGTACGTTTTGTGAATATTATCCTATAATCATCAATAATTTTTTACTTTACTTTATTTTTTTTCGAAAGTGTGGGGGGGGGGGGGGTTATTGGGTACATATATCACTCGGAGCTCATCGGATGGCTCGTGTACCATTTTGAATGGAGTGAAGCGGAATAAACCGAAGATTGCCGACTGTGCTTATTATGCATTATGAGATATCTAAATACAAAAAGCAAATAATTGAAACTTTTACTTACAATCACATGCTGAGAATAAATTTAAGGAAATTTCTACCGATGACATCGTGTATATTGTATATTGTTTGCATTTTCAGGAGTGAGGCCCATTTCACTCCATCTAAACACATGTTGTCTTGTTCCCATTGACACTGAGTATGATTTCAGCTGATTATTTAATTTACAATATGTAACTGTGCATGGATTTGTTTATTCAGGTAATGTTTAAATTGTATATCTGTAAGTTAGACTGTCATCCGGGACCCTTGACTTGGTCAAAAAAATTTAATGAAACAACGTAGCAACTCGTGAAGAGGCACATGGCACACAAGAAATTATACATTAACAATTTTACAATGCTCTGAAAATCAAATTCAACGTCTGACTTTGAATTGATTGTGTTGCATGCATCAAGCCTAGATATATACGTAACCTATAGGCATTTTTATCGGTATTTTTAAGTGCAGAACAAATCAAATTCCTTAATTTTTTTCAAGAAATAAGAATAAAAAACATTCTTTCCTTTTTACATTGTACAGCACACAATATTTACCTTTATCAAATGTTCAAAAACTTTATTTCTTTTCACTGTTACTAGTATATACTCGTACATGTAGTTAAGTTACAATTGTACCATAGAACTGACGGTAAATTTAAATTTTGCTTTGATGTTGCTGTGGTGTATTTGCCAGAAGAATCACAGGTTTTTTTTTTTTGGTTTTTTTTTAGGTCAAGCCCACTTAGATTAGCTATAACTTATTGATATTATGTGTAAACCAGCATATTTAGTTGAAGTTTAGCATCTCAAATCATTGTCATAAAGGCAAGTAACATCGTTCGGGGGGGGGGGGGGGTGTTGTTGTGTGGAAAAAAATACGTTTACATGTATTTTATTTTGAATTCAGAGATTTTCCAATTTAAATATAATTTTCAATTGAAATAAAATAAAGGGAAATCGTTTTTGAAAGAAGTTTTAAATAATTGCTCGGCAAAAAATTACAATGCCTGAAGTTTGCACCCCCAACCACCCCCTAAATTTAGTTCAGGGAATAACCATAAAAATACATGTAGGTACTGCCTAAGAGTTTGTTTTTGTGGAAGTGGGTTTGCTGATTATACCGGAAAAGAAAATTATTAATAATCCTTTGAATTATCCTTAAGACCTTACTACATGAACAGTGATGTCGGATATTCTTTTTACCCCCTTGCGAGCAATCGTAGTTACGTAGTCAATTTCGTCAACAATAAATAATTTCTCTTGGATAATGGCCGTGTTGTTACGAATGCATTGCGAGATGATTTTAGAGTGAGAACTTTATTGGTATTTTTTTGGTCAGTGGTCTTTCCCTCGTCAAAGATCCTTTCAAATACTAATTTCCAATGATTGAAGCATGATTATGTTGATGATGTAGAAAAAAGGGTGAGATGATGCCGTTGAATATACATTGCACTCCTTGAAAATTTTAAACTACTTACTTTATTATTTCAATATACATGTACATTAAGCTGATATTTTCTTCAACGACCTTTAAATTATTACTATTTTACAATGTATAGGTCCATAAAAATGCTAATATTTGGAGAAATATATATTTAAAAAACTTTAAAATACCTCTAGAGAAAAAATTATTTCTAACAAATACAAAGGGATGAATTAATAATCACGTTGCACTTTCCAATTATCAATGACGTTATGTAACGTTATTCAACGTTTAACAGCGTTATCCTGTTAGCATTGCATTATTTTCATTTGGAGTTTTAATTAGAATTTAGAAGGTATATAATAAAATATTTGGTATCAAAATATTCAGAAAAACTAGCTCTTTCAGAAACGGCAAAAAACCGATTTTCTAAAATTAGGTCACGAAGGTCCCTTTTCGCTTGACGCAACTCATATATCATGAAGAGTTCTACACAATGGAAGCGGTAAGTATGAAACTGCAATCTCATCAGCTATATCAAAGATACAAAAAAATTCCTTTTCAAGTGTATAGGAAAACCATTGTCAACCGTGGCGAACCGAGGTTGACAATGTTTTTTAAGGGGTGAAAATTTTCAATGTTTCACTCAACTATACATGCAATTCTTATCATATTATACTGAATGTTTTATGTACAAATACATATAACAGTGAACCTTGCGCGCATAAATTCAGATTCAAACAATGCGTTCTCTTGCGATGTGTTTTATGAACACAAAACACAACGATACGATAATTTTCTATTTTAAAGTTTTGATGAAATCAAACTTTAAACAAAATTTCTTTTTATAAATACTGAAAAACTCGAGAAACTTTAGAGACATAGCATGTCTGCTGAAACACCCTTAACTCAATAGAATAGAGAGTGGGAGTGAGAATCTCTCACTAAGGTTAATACATTCTGAACCAAAGTATAATCTAATTCTTTGCTAAAACCTTAACGGTTATTAAACGTTGGAATTAAAATGATTAAAGCGATATAATTGTGACGCACAAACGATACAAATGTAGAATTTTTTTTATGAACCGTACAGATTTGATCAATTCCTGGAAGTATTAGGCTTCAGGAAATAGGAGGTTTCGGAACCTCAAAAGTCTACTTTTTTAAAGAAAAATTTTGCATGGTCCACGACGAAAAAATTTTTTTTTTCTCAGTACTTTCCTTCGTTTTAATTGGAAAAAAGTATGTTATAATAAACATTCCCATCTAACGTCTTTATTACGATAGAGGCACCAAATATAATGAATTATGCCAATAGACTAAGTACAAGCAGTCTTTTGTTTTTCAATTTCCTATTAATAGAGTTTGTTTTTACAGATTTTTACCTCTGTTTGTTGGACTACCATGTATCCTTATCCTTATACTCTACTGCAACAACTCAAACACCTGGTCACAAGAAAAGACTATTCTTCCAGGAATAGTGTTACATGTAAACAAAAGTCGTCCTTTGACAAAATACTCTCTTAATCAGCTAGTACCAGATGTAAGGACAAGTAGTTTTAAAACTGAAACAACTACTCATCACGTATCATCTCCAGCAAGACAAAATATGGTTTCTGTCGAGGACCAGTCATGTGATATTCAAATGGCATTGTATTATCAGAAAAAGCAAGGAAATACAAGTTATCCTAGTTTATATAACAGTAAGTCATCATTTAATTTTGTTTACAAAACATTTTCTTTTTGCAAAGTCAAATAATTCTTATTCAGAAAGAACGTCATTATTTTGTTCTCTTCAGAAATTAAAAAGAAATTCAACGTAAATAATTTATTGGTCAGATTTTACACCAGTCGGAGGTTCGGACTGGAGCTTTTCGACCACCATTGGTTGTTCGGATCGGACTTCAGCCATCTTCAATAAGTCGAGTGATGATTGGTTGATTCCGAGGTGCACAGAACAAGATTCGTTCTTAGAAACAACAATGGATTTAAATAACGCCCCTGTGTTTGACTTTCCCGATGAATGTTTGTCTCGAGTCATTGATAAATTCTGCACAGACAACTTGCCAGTGCCAAACATTGGGGGCATTTACCTTGATACAGACCAATATATCCTTAGATCGATTAACGAATTCAGAACTAAGGAGTGTACAATGGAAAAAAGGTCCACAAGGGGGCGTGCCGAACGCCGTCATCTTCGCCGCTAAAAACGCAACCTTCATAAACATATGGATAGATAGTTACAAAAACTACAGCCCAAAAAAGTGGGGTAAAAACTCGGTGCAGATGGCGAGAAAGCTGTCCTTAAAATATCCTCAATACATTTACGTTTATGAAATCAGCTGTATATTCTTTCCACGGGAGACGGTTTTTGTATGACGGGAATTATAAATGGTCGCATAATTTTGCTATTCATTTTTTCAATAAAGATTATTATTATTATTCAGGCAGATTGGGGAAAATAAACTTAGAAACCATAAAAAATTTAAACAACACTATAGGTGCGGTGTTCAGATATGTTTTGTATGAAAATAAAGAACTTTGCAAATAACCAATGAGAGAAAATTGCACAGGACACGTCTTGTTTCAAAGCATAAGAAAGAAATATGTCTTCATAATATTTAGATATAAATGCATATTTGATTCAGAAAATTTAAATTGTTTCTTAGAATGATCACATGTTTACCATGTTTTACTCAACATCGAACTAAAAATTAAATAATACTGTTTATATTTTTGTATTTAGTTTTCAACTGTAATAATGATGTTACAGAACGGATGTACTGTTTACAATTATATGTAAATAATCATACATAATTTTTGATGATATATTAATTTTATCTGTGGAAAAGACTACATAAAAATGTACTTTACATGTATGTTCTATCGTATAGTATTTAATTTTTTGTTATATTGTCTAATTCATCATGGTTTTTTCTTTTTTACACATTAAAAACAATTGGGCTATCTTAAAGTTGTCAGTGCCTTTTTTTCCATGCTAGCCTATTTTTAAATTTGCTTAAAAAGACAAGAAACTATGATGAATTAGACCCCCTCCCCCAAAAATAAATAAATAAAAAAAATAAAAATTAAAACAAAGGGCCAGGGGCCACGAATTTTAAAGATTTTTTTCTATTGTTATACTTCATAAAACTTTGATCACCTATTATGGCCCCACCCTATCCCTGGGGATCATGATTTGAACAAACTTGAATCTACACTACCAGAGCATACTTCCACATGAGTTTCATCTTTCCTGACCTAGTGGTTCTTAAGAAGAAGAATTTTAAGGATTTTCCCTATGTTTTCCTTTGTTAAACTTTGACCCCCCCATAATGGTCCCACCCTACCCCCAGGGGTCATGATTTGTACAAACTTGAATTTAAACTACCTGAGGATGCTTCTACATGAGTTTAATCTTTCCTGACCCAGTGGTTCTGGAGAAGATTTTTAAAAGATGCCATTACTTTTTCACCAATTCATAATTATCTCCCCTTAGAATAGGGCATGGCCCTTCATTTGAACAAACATGAATCCCCTTCACCCAAGAATACTCTGTGGCAAGTTTGGTTGAAACTGGCCCAGCGGTTCTTGAGAAGAAGATGAAAATGTGAAAAGTTTACAACAACCACAGACAATGGACAAATTTTAATCAGAAAAGCTCACTGAGTCTTTGGCTCAGGTGAGCTAATAAAAACCATATAGATGTTAAATATGTCAAAGCCTCTGTTTTTACACTTACTAGTGCCATTGAGTCTGATATTAAACTGGTCCTCGCCCCTGTCATTCCTAGCTTTACATGTGTAGGTTCCATAATCAGCTTTGGCTATACTCCTCACTGTAAGTTCACTTTTAAATTTAGTGTCAAAGATGTCAGCTGCTGATGTAGAACTAATGGCATATTTACTGTTGCTCTGCAACTCTGTGTCCTCCTATTTAAAGTATAATTTTTGTGAATGACATTTCATCTTCACTATATTGAACTATTATTCTGCATTGTTAATACATACATCAACTTAAATTGTCACATTAAATGGTCAGTAAATGCCTTACCTTCAGCCATGTAAACTGCATCTCTGGGGTGCCTTCAGCCTTACAGATCAGGGTCACAGTATCTCCATGTTTTCCTCCTGCTTTAGCATACTGTCGAGACTTGTCAATGCCAGCAAAATCTGAAAATTGAAATTAAACATAGGTGAGGATATGCTCAAGAAGTCAAATGTAAAGGGCATTTTTTATTGTTATTTTATACAGATTCTAAGTGCCGAAAAGCATATTTCTTACATGTTATCATAAAATAATTACATCAAGAATATCACATTCACTTACATTTGACCACCAAGTTGGCTTTTTTGGTCTGGGGCTGTGCTACTTGGTTATCAGCTGTACATGTGAATTTCCCAGAGTCACTTCTTATTAGATCCTGAATCACAATCTGGCTCTCTCCATTTCTGTACACCTGTTTAGTTTTAGACATGTCAAACCGTGGTCTGGACCACACAGCCATGTTCTCCACTGATGGATTCCCATTGACACCACAGATGATGGAGGCTGAATCTCCCTCATTGGCATACACTGTCTCCTGAAATCTTATTATCTCAGCTGGGACTGAAAGAAAATGTGTCCAATAAGAGTTATCTCTCTTAGGCTAAAACTAAGATTGTGCCATCTAGATCATGAGGGTACTGTAGAATTAACACACTGATTTGATACATGAAAAGGTGAACAATATGATAACATATATTTGACCTTGACCAGGAAGTAGTAGTACAATATCATTACTTACATTTGACCTTAAAATAAAAAATCCCCCTCCTTTCCCCTCTCTAATCCCAAAATATTAAGTACTTGTCAAGAAAAGAATGATACAAATTGGACTGTCTTTCAGTAAATGGAATGATTAAACCTGGGAAGCTGATGGCCGTCATGGGGTCAAGGTAGGCAGAACAAGGATATGATACAATTTGGAGAGGGAGAAATAATCCGAAATATCTCCTATCGTTATCTTTATCTCAGTAAATTCCTATTATGTCTGTAAAATATATATGTCAGTGAGCCCAAATCAGAGAGAGAGAGAGAGAGAGAGAGAGAGAGAGAGAGAGAGAGAGAGAGAGTTGACGAAAAAGTCGTTGATCAGAATGAATTTGAGAAACTTTTGTACATGCATTAGTCAATAAAGGACGCGTGTTTTCAGCGGAGCAGGAAAAACAACGTTAACTTTGCTAAACGTACTCACCTACAGAAACAGAGGAACACTAATCTTACAAGGTGATGTGAGGGTCAATGCAGTGATAGTGGAC